TATAAATAAAATAATAAATATCACACAAAATTACAAAAACAAACTAAAATTAAAAGTGAAATGATTAAAACTAAAACTGAATTCTAAATTAAAACTAAATAGAAGTAAAAACTAAAACTATAAAAAAAATAAAAAAAAATAAAAATAAAAAGCCCCCTAATTCTAAATATCAATAAATATTATAATATATAAATAATACTAAAATAACACGGCACAAAAGAAAATTAGTGACAAATGCCTTACATTTTCATCCGTTACATAACGTTACTACTATATGATTTTAGAAGTCATACGGACTTCATTTATGATACTTTTAAAGTCCTTTTGTATAATTATTGAAGATTGAAAACTCAATGTAACTGCATTGTAAAAAGCATTCAGTACAGAAAAAGTTTCATAAAATACATAATCATACAGTTTTATAATGGCATGAAGGGATGAGTAAATTACTGAAATTTCATTTTTGATTAACAGAAACTTCATAGTTTTCACATTTCAAATAAGTGATATATTAGTAGAATCAAATGGCTCCCATCCCAACTCGCCAACAACATCACCGAAGACCAACTAATTCTTACAGAGCAAGTTCATTTACAAAAAGCCATGTGACTGCTAAATCGATGCATTCCGAAGCCCTTGTCACATGACTTAGATGATTTGTTATACGGAACTGCCAAAGACATGGTGTAAGTACAATGAAGTACAGCGGCCAAACATTATTTCTGTGAAGGAAGCATAAATTAAGCTAAACATGCTTTGGATTAGCCTAGCTGCCTCTCTACGAATCAAATGCATGAATTTCAGCCCTAAATCAAAGCAACCCGCAGGCTTTCAGCATGTGATGAGGTGGACTGGATTCATTCCTCGTTCTCTAATCTCACAGCTGCTTGTGGAGCAACTGTTGCCTGGAGTAGTTTATACGAACGTATGCTAGCATCTGCTTTGGCATGATAGGGCATTTCCAGCAGCGGTGGCTAAGATCGGCTCAATTCCACAGGGGGTCTTCTAGCCGTTTAAACACCTGTTAATAATGTGCCAACGTGCTGCACGCTTGTGACAGCTTTAATGCCCGAAACATGCAGTTTTGTACTTGAGAATGAGAGTGAGAGAGAAAGAGTAGAGCCGAAGCAGCAAGGGGGCGCGTTAGTCCCACGCTCAGGTGGTGCACTAAAGGCATGCTTTGCTGAGAGTGAGAAAGATGAGGCTAGCGCACACGGCAGCAGATGAAGGACGCAGCTTTGGCGACAGGCCCGGCCTCGACGTTTACCTGTGCGCATGCCTCCTGCCCGCCGACAGAGGTAGACAGGCAGGGACAGGTAGACGTCATGGTCACCCTCACGCTTCCAACAGGACCAGTAGAGGGGGAAATCGCTGCCGTCACCCCCATGCAGGGTGGAGGCTGGCGGGGGACAAAAACACACAGTCCCCGGGTGTCAAACAAACGCATATCTTCACAAAGCAAGGACGACTTATTCCTCTAAATGACTGGAAACATCACGCCAGTGTGCATGACGGAGACACTACACACAGAAGGTTTTTAAAGTCAACGTGAAATCAAAATTGACCCCATTTATTGTCTTAATGCACATTCCTGGTGTTATTGTGATTCATTCATTAGGCTAATCTAAAGAAAAACGAGATCCTGATTTCTAAACAAATTATTACATGAAAAACTTTCTTTTTTTTTGGTGACATCACTTTGGCCAAGTGTTATCCACTTGTTAAGTCTGACTTCACGGTTCCCATAAATGGCTGAAATCATATTCTCAATAGAAACAGGCTTGAACTGGGAAATAGCATTTGTCATGAATTAACAAGAGGACTGGACAACATTAGCCAAAAGCCAAATAGATAGCTATTTGTTCTATACATTCATCAACCTTTTGGGCATTTAACAAAATTTGTCTAGTTTTAAAATAGAACCAATTCCTTGTTTTTTTTGTCATTTTAATTATTACTTGTTAAAGGGGTCACGAACTGCCTTTTTATTAATAATCTGGTACTGTTCTCTGAGGGCCACTTATAATGTTATCAAGATTTTTACATCAAAAAACCTCAAGTTAAAAGTAATAGGCTATTTTCTATCCTATTTTGACCCCCCTCATCAGAACACTCTGTTTGAATAGGTGTGGTGGATTGTAAACTCGGAAGTAAACACCTACTGCTATGATTGGCTGACAGTTGTGTATGTTTGACAGCCTACATCCATCACAGATGAAAAATAAAGTTCATTCACTCTTTCCCAATGTTGGGATCAGAAGGAAGGCAATGCAAAGACTGTGTTTTTCCACAGGTTGGCACTGCGCAGCATCTTGTTGTCTTCGGAGCCATCTTTATCGTTTGGTTTCTGCGTAGAGCTGCACTTGCCATTTACCTACTATGTGCACAAATCAGTGGGCGGGGCTAAACAGGCAGTGATGTAGAAGCAGGCATTGATCTTCTTCTGCGGAGGCGGTGTTTAGCCACACTATTACATCACAAAGTGGCACATTCAACAACCTGTCATTTTGGCAGACTGGCTTCAATATAAGCTGTTTCTAGACTGAAGAGAAAGTTTTGAGTTCTGAAACTTACAGAATGTTTTTATAGCACAATGACCTCATATATGTCAAAAGATCAAAGGACTTTAGATTGTTTCAGTTCATGACTCCTTTAAATTTTCTGTTTCACTTGGAAATACATCACATTATGAAATCAAAATGGGTTGCAAATGGCAATTCATGTTGACTTTAAATGAATATGAGAGATAAACAACCAGCTAAAGCCATAGATATGAATACCCAGATGATCAAAATATGTCAACAGCACCACTATCTTCAACATGTTAGGTTGCGCTAACTAACAACTGTCATTATACCAACAAAAATGGTATGCCACAGCACTGTGCAACCAACCATGATATAGTTACTAACACAAATGGTGTCAGCAAGACCTATGTACAAAGTCTACTCTTATAATGCAGCAGAGCTACAGTCTGGTGGCTGCAGTTCAACAAAAAGATCTGGACCGTTCCAGTGTACTGTGACTCAGCACATTGTTTATAAGCAGTAAAACAACACACAAGTGAGATGTACAGCTCTGCCTTTCAGAAGCACTGACTGACACACGCTTATTGACTGCTTTCCAAATGGACAGCAGGAGGCAGTGTGGAGATTTAATGTTTGAGACACAATGTTTAGACATTTCAAACCATGAAAAGCTTGATGCTTTGGCGTAAAGAAAGGTTTAATAATTTACTCTGTGCCTACAGACAAATCACAGCCTGCTGATTTTCAATTTAGCAGGACTGTTGTTTTATACTGCTGTAATATACCATTCCTAAATTAAACTGAATATATTGATTATATTTCATATTTTAAGTCAAGCACTAATAAATTATATTCAACAGATACTGATATCAGCAGGATGAAATTTTGCATGCGGTTATAAGGAGCACTTCTCATTTGATTTAACAAGCACATTTAAATGGACAAATTCTCCTAAATAAGAAAGAGTTCCCATTAAATTGGAACAAACATGCATATTGTTTTTCTGCAATAATCAGGGACAAATTACAAATCCAAGATTACAGCATAAATGAAAACATTGTCTTTAGTACTAACTCAGAATCTCACAATCAAAGACTATTATCAAGTTGATCAGCTTAAGGGTCAGAACCCCAAAAGAAAAAAAAATTTGCTCAGCAAGCAGAGAACGGCAGAAATGTATTAAATACATGGCTGAGTTCTCATGATGTACGACATGACACACATGTACGTGGATTTAATGCAATTAACACAACAAATCATGTTTCTTTTTTGGCACCACTGCATGTCACACATGCTTAGAAAATATATTAAAGAAAAACAGACATAGGACTCTTGGTAAAATTGCTCTAACAATCATATAAGCATCAGTGTGGTCTCTTTATGAGATGCTGTAGTGTGTGCCTATGAGCAAGAGCAGCAGGGTTGCTTTCAATATTAGTTAGAATATTTTACAAATCTCTCAAACTACACCAATACACAGTTACAAACAGACAGAAATTATTAATACTGCAATCTTTATGTATTAAAGGATTTTCTTGCTATACAAGTTGTCACAGTATCTAACAGTTGAAGTGTGAAAGCATTTGAATATTACTGAAATTCTCATTTTAATTCTAAGCTGTTTTGACTTCCCTCACTGAGCATTTTACTAATTTCCTCATTTGCACCATTACAAGTTTGCCTAAAACAGCTGCACAGCATTTTCACCTTTTCACTTTTACCAACCAAATGTTTCCACTGCTGATCAGTTGTTCCTGTTTAGAAAAGGGATTTTTTAATATATCTTTTACACACTAAAATATTTTAGAATTTATACATATATAAATAAACATCATAAATCTAAGTATTATATCATATAAGTAGTAATAAAAATACTTAAATTTTAATGCCATAAGATGAGTCATCTGTGGTGATCTGCAATGTCCTTACCACACAAATCTACACCCATGCCTGTGCATTTAATAGGGAGAATTAAATATCACAATTTTATCAGTGAGCTCACATGAGGAAGCAAATTAATTGTGTCTAGTAATTTCACTGACTTTTATAGGGGTCATGTTATCTTGTATGACATATTTGTGACCACTCACCCAACATGGCAGGGTGGTTGCTACGGTTGATTGGCTTGGGTGGAGGGAGAGGGGGCTGTTTGGTGGGCTGGGCTGGGACATTGCCCATAGAGGATGGTGCTGAAGAGGTGGTAAGGGGAGCGCTGCTGGAGGCCTGTGTGTTGGCGCCTGCCGAGGATACGTTTCGTAGTGGTTTTCCAGCCGTGCTGACAGCTGAGGAGGAGGAGGAGTTGGAGGAGGCAGAGGAAGAAGAGAAAGCAGCTGCGGGGTTGTGGACAGGGGTGCGGGGCAAGCTATCAGCACCAGGTTCCGGGGTGGAAGTCATCAACCATTTGGGGGGCATGACGGACTGCTTGGGGGGCAGAGGCTCTCGCAGTGTGTCCCTCAAAACCTCTGAGTTAGGAACGTATTGACTGCTGTCTGATTCTGTAAGGGAATACATAATATTCAGAAAAACAAATTAAAATGTTTATTTTTTGTCATGCTTAGTTTGAGCCTCATAATAACTCTGAATAATAACTGATCTGAAATTAGTGTTGTTTAATACTTCTAAGTTTAAATTTCACAGTGGAACTGCTTCAAATAAACTGACAGAAAAATCTGATTCAGTGAATCAAATACATCACAGTGTTGTTATTGTAAACTAAAACTAAAACCTAAACTATAAAACATAGTATAATAATTTTAGTTTATTAAAAATAAAGTTGGACATTTAAAGATTTAAATACTTAACCTGAAAATTAGTCATGCTGACTTGGCAACTAACTGAAATTAAATGTGCAATCAGCAAAATTACTACAACTAAAACTGAAACACAAATAAATTAAAATTGAAATATTTAAAAACAAAAACTAATAAAATGATGAAAGAACATGAGAAAATAAGTAAAATAAAAAAAAAGAAAGCTAATTAAAAATGTGAATAAATACCATAATAGTATTAGGGCTGCTGCAATAGACGGTGTTGACGGCTGTATCACTTGCCCACCGCGGCACCGACCCCACCGTCATTTAGATTTTTTTATAGTAATAAAAATCATTTAGTTCAGTTAGAGAACATGCACTACAATTAAAACTGAACGCGGCTGCTCAATGCAGCGTGCCGAACGACAGTCGCCTCACAGATCAGATTTAATTTATCACGTGAGGAGAAGCTGACAAGAAGAGTGAGGCGAGAGACAGACGAGATGATGGCAGAAGAGTTTCAAAACGACATGCAAAAGCACCTGTTTTAAAAATATTTTGGATTTTGAAATCCTGTTGACTTCTGCCATTTATCTAAGGTGATGTAGCGTCTGGACCAATCAGACACACAATTTTTTTTTATATTTAACAAATACTCCGTAACACCCCTCAATCAACAAGACAACTATGAGGGCTCAATGGACCCTTCCCCCGAAATGCAGCTAACGCCTCAAAAAGGCAGAACAGGCCTTTGGTTCCATGGCAACCAATGCCGATAACACTAGTTCTATTGCTCAAAGGAATGCGGGCAGAGCAACTCTCAATTAATTTACCCTTAGGAAAGACACACAATGCCCATAAAAATGGACTCTTCTCTAACCCTTCCCCCGAAATGCAGCTAACGCCTCAAAAAGGCAGAACAGGCCTTTGGTTCCATGGCAACCAATGCCGATAACACTAGTTCTATTGCTCAAAGGAATGCGGGCAGAGCAACTCTCAATTAATTTACCCTTAGGAAAGACACACAATGCCCATAAAAATGGACTCTTCTCTAATT